AGCAGACCCTTTGAGATTTGTTCCGTTTGAAATATGTCGTCGTCGACCCAGGCCAGTGAATTGACAATATTCTAATCCTGATTATCCAGGGGTCATCTTCTGAACAGTTCTCACTTATAGATCCCGAAGATAACCTGAAATTTTGTGATGCCAGAATTAAAATTTAACACTCGCGAATGACCGCTGTAAGCGCCAGCGGAATTAGAAGATAGAGTAGAAGCACGTGACCACGCGTGCATCGCCCGAAATTTTATAGGTGAGCGTTTTTTATAGTTTTTCGTACTCGAACAAAAAACGGTTATGCAATTGACATAATACGTAATGACATAACGGAAGCAAAATAAAGATATAGAACACCACATTCTCCTCCCACTATGGTATAACAAGTGCACGGTGGCTCCATAGAGTCCTTTATGGGGACACCGGAAGATCACTACAACTGTATTTATAGAGTAACCACATAATGTTACACGAGGTCGTGCAGGAACCTTTGTGACTTGAGGGCCTATAAACGTCAACCAGAAGATGCTCAATCCGGATTGGCTGGCGTTTAGAGCAATCGGACCATTCCTTCGTTTGGTCCTTAGCCTGTATGTGACACATGCGTCCAAATGTTATTTTCGGTTATTAGGGCTGCTGGCCTCCGGACAAGAGGAGACAACAGTCCATACACAAGGGTATGGAGCGAACAGCTATTGGCATGAATAAATCTCTTGGAAGCCTGTGGAGAAGCTTCATATGTTATGAAAAATTATTCCATGCTTTAATGACGCTCAATTGAGTGCTTTAAAGCACTTTTGGTTGGCCTCCCCCCCCCACTCGCTCTTATTCCGTTGGTCTGAATGTTTTTCATTGAAGATTCAAATGCAGAGAAACCGGGTGACGGGTATAACACGTTTTTGAATTTTTAAGTTGTTCGGAGTGATGCCACGTGGCATGCGAGTAGACAACCGTGAGTTTCAAGTATTTATGACCTGTTATGCTAATTGCTTGTCTCATTCATGCACCTGCCTTTTCCAGTATGAAGCGATTTGATCGTATTCTCATGTTGCCAGCTGGGTCACTCAACGACCTGTTATTAGACCTACGCTGGTTATAATTTTCATTCACACAATTTCATCCTCTCTCTCTCTCTCTCTGACTTCCACCGGTCCTCTGTTTACTGTTGATCTGGCAGTAACCTGGAAACTGCCGGTGGAAAATCCCTCTATTTGGCAACTTCCACCTATTGCCATCTCCATCTCACCTCCATCCCACAGAACCATAGACATTCGACCCAACAAGTTACTGAGTCGTCACTTCATCCCAACCCACTTCATCCCGACCCTGCATCATATCACGAGGGCTTTGATGCGTGGTTTTTATCCAATGGGTCTGCGCCGATATGCTCTAATCCCTTCTCAAAATCTATCAGTGTTCGACTTCCATTCCCGTTCCCTCCAGACCTAAGAATGAGTAGACAGTGTAGTTTATATAGGGCAATACTGCAGAAGTAACACACTGCTCAGACTTTTTTCGACTGGTCTTTCACTCTTTCACTCGGTCTAAATACTGCTCCCATCTTATCTGTCCCTCCTATCTGTCATTTTCAAAATACAATTCCGTAGAAGTTTCTCCACTTTCCTGCTGTTCGAAACTGCCTGGCCGCCGGAAGAACCCCCAGCGGCCTACGTATCTGTCAGTCAGAACTTCTTTGCCTCTGTGGTCATTCCCTTATTGGACGAATTTTCTATCCACCGTGTCCGGTCAGTTCGCCCTACAGATGGGAAACAAATTGAACGTCTTGTCCATCAGACTCATGCCGAAATTGTTCTGCGTTTGTGTTCCCTTTGAAGACCGTAAGCGATTTCGAAGCATTTGGTTCTCGTCCCAAATCGTTGAAAGTAGAGTTATTAGAGTGCCAATCAGGGCCGGGTACCTTGCATCTAAAGAACGAACGTTGAATTTCTGTCATTAATGAGACAATGTCGCTGCCCTATCCAGCCTCATGCCCCCCTAGGACCTATGTTGAGAAAAACCATTCCTTGGAAGTTTCCTGCTTCTGCCTCCAAAAGGCGATCTTGCGAATTCATTGCCGATCCATTCTTTCTGCAGGCTGTCCCGCTGACAGACTTGATCAGTTGATCGAACCGGCTAGAACAGGACATAGTTGTTTCTGGATTCTAATCATCCCTCTACTCCTGCCACGAATAGATTGAACTATACTGCGGTTTTGGTGGCGGCGCAGAGCCTCTCATACCAGGTTGGTTACTGGGTAGATGTCCGGCTAACCGTCTCCAGGCCCCGCAGGCTTCGGTTAAAACATCTATGACGACTTGCTGTTTAAAACTTTTGACTGCTGTGAGTACCTCACGCCAAATACCGCTACTTTGGGCTTAGGCTTGTGAATAAAAAAATGTGGCCGAGGACTCTAACCGCCCTTCCGTCAAGGTCTGAATAGTATCCCAGCCCACGCGCAACCATGAATCGCACAACTACAAATGACTTCATGACACATCGACCCTCGTTTAGTACTACCAGCGAGTCGCCTTGTTTGCAGCATGCACCGTGACGCACAGCCGAAAACAGCATACTGCTGACGCTTCTCTTTTTCCTCTTCCACTTGTTCCTTCTTCCACACTCATCGTCCCTTCGATGGCACCATCTCCATTGGCCTATTTTTAAGGGCTGAAATGTCTATTCGTCGCGCATTGCCGTCAGCTGTAATATCCATGGTTAACTTGTCCGCCACGATCATTAACGTCTCGCAATCATTCTTCAAACCTCGGTGATCACTGCGTCTATCAGCCTCTAATGTTCGCCTTCTGAAACAAGCTGGACAACAGGATGCTATTGCATGTATACTGGATTCGCTTTCTGTTGATGTGGACTGTCCCTCTGAAACGAGGACTAAAGACCTAAGTACAGTTGTGCTGACTTCCTCGTCGGTTTTCTGTCGCTTCTAGTTGCGCATCTTTGGGGATCCAGAAGCCACCTCGATTAGTTCATCTGGAGTTGACGTTGCTCCCAGAGACTTATCTGGGGGGTCTCTGCTTGAATGGCTGCCCGCTGAGGGTCGCCTCCGTGTGTTTCCTTTACCAACGTGTCTGAGAGTATCCAGTGGACGCATCAGTAGTCGCTACTCATTCACTGTATCTGCATATGTCTCAACAGACTGGTCATGATACTCTCAAAGAGGTTGTGTGACGCTCTAAGCGCTTTATTGCGGTAGACTAAGAGTTCGTGGGTCATTATGTTGATAAAAAATAATCGTTAAGCTGTAACATCCTTTCGGTGTCTAGCTGCCATGCCACCCGAGGGAAATTCTAGCGCTGGGATACTGCCAGATTGGCCAAGACTATACGGGGGAAGTTGATATGCAGAGGTCCGTTCGAACCACGGACCTTTTGGTCAGTAAATTCGCACTCTAACCACTGAGTCATATCGTCTTATGCCCATGTGGGTTGCTCAGGCTCAAATGAGTAGTTGTCTTCGAATGGAGTAGAGTTGCACGGAGAACGACAAACGCCTGCAGTAGGTTTGTGCTGACCGTAGACTGTTTCTGTGTAGTTCCAACTTGGAAACAACAAAAGCCGTTTGGCCGCATGATGCCTTCCGCAATTACGCCAACCTCCGACAAGAATGGACCACGTCGTCAGCAGCTATATGTGGCGTAGATCAATTACTGGCTACCTTCCGTTCTGGAACACCTATGTGGACCCAGATCGTGCGCATATTCAGTGATGCTTTCCGTTGCTCTTTTCAGAGGCGCTTGGGAATCGCACATCTTCCCTAGTCATTGAGAAGCTCTCGGGCCTTGATGTGAAGCAAACCTACCAAAATCACCTGACGAAGTCTATTTCGGATTTCACTTCTTATATTGACCACTACTGGAAAGTGTTGTTCACAACTCTGTGAGATAGAGGGCCTTCCGCTTGTAGACTGGTGCAATCAAATAAATCTACGCAATGGAGCTCCAACGGCACTATGCAATTGGTCTAAGGTGGAATATACTCCTCTTCGTCTAGAGTAAACAACAACCAGACAGACCGTCAAACTCCAGGCAAAAAAAGAATATTTATGCGGATTGAGGCGCTTGATTGGTCTGGAAAGTTCAGACGAAGAAGGCGAGAAAATCCGGGGATGTTGGTACGCACAACAGACCCGATCAGTGATAAAAGCGGCTAGCTTACCTCTAGAAAAGAAGAATGTCTGAATCTTTGTGTTGAACAACAGCTCAACTGGCTACCGCTGTTGCTTGACTGGATTCCCGACCAACAACGCTGTCCTGAACAATGAACTTGGAACCTTTGGCGGACTGGGAAGTAAGCAAATGTTTTCCCTCAAGGGTCACCAAGCTGCTGGTGCTGATAAACTCCTACCTTTCTGCTCGAAGATGTAATTGGAAGCCTCATTCTTTGCTCGTCTAACTTATTTGCCTCTATCTGGTCAAGGGGTAACCACCCAACCACCTGGGTTGAGTAGATGGTGGTACCCATTTTCAAAAAAGACGCCCGCAATGCGTGTGTCAATGATGAAAAAACCATAAAAAGCCGTAACCAACTCTTTGCGTCGCCAATTCTGTGTCGCTCTACGAAGGCGAGTGGAACTGAGAATAGCAAGCAGAATTTGGCCGGGAGGGGGGATGTGTGAACCACATCCATATCATAGTTATCGCCTTCGAAGAAAGGTGTTTTTGGATGAACTAACCAAAGTCATCCCGTCCCTTGTTATTCACTTTGCACCTACAAAGCTCTAGGACATGCAGTCACTGAACACGCCACTTGCAATCTAGGGGCAGCCACTCGAATTTGTGAAGCGTTTTACGAAGTTGTATTGGCTCTGGTTGTAGTGTGATAGGTGAGCCTGCGAGCCTTGGGTTGCGTCCGCTAATTTGCGACACCTATGGCATCAAAGTGGTGTATCCCCAGGTCTCAAGGGATGAGTGTATGGCTGCGACTTTGTAACGAGACAGTTAGAAAGCGATTTTTCGGTTGTGCAACGGAGATTTCCATTGAAGAATGTGTCCAACATTAGAAGGGGCACCGGTTAGGCCATATACTGTGTATGCCGAAGAGCGTGCTGTTTTCTATACCCGATTCAGAGCAGCGGAAGCAGGGAGGTGGCCAACCCTTGACCTGGTGGAGATCACAAAACGCTCGGTTGCTGTAGGTGGTGATCGTCTTCCAAGAATGGGATGGCGCGATCCCCACTGCGCCTGGTTGGAGACGCTGCAAGATATGACTGCTTATCGACGTCAGTGGCGTTCTTTTAATTACTTTCTATCCAGGTTGTTTGAATGACCATCTGGAGGGGTGTGCACCTCAGAATGATCGTAGTAAGCCAGCACTAAGTCCCTTCTTGGTTCGCTTTTATTCTTTTCTTCACAATAGAGCTTTCAAGTGAATCATCAGTGTACGGCAGCGAAGCATCATTGCTGAATACTGACGTCATGCTGTCGATGACGATGATGATGACATCAACGCACTCTGTCAAGTGCGGAGGTACTTGCAGACATAACCGCGTTGGGGTTTTCAACCGGTTAGTTTTTTTTTCAGTGTACCTGCGCAACAGAACATGTCCCAAAATTCCACGAGTATCATGCAGTGTTTGTATCCACATACTTATGGATGCGTGAAAGCATATGGAAAGCCCCCCAGACGCTCTCCTACAAGCAGTAATGTCCTACAAGAATGTCCACACTTAAGCTTTTGTTTAATTTTGTCATACGTGAAGTAATGAGACGAACGCTAGAATGCTTTCAAAACTCCAGTGTTCAGATCTATCTGAATATGATGCATGATACATGAGCATTTGATACGTCTTCAGGTCTGATCGCCAATGCGTCAGAACTATGGCTGGAACCATTGAATTCGGAATACACTAACAAGTAGCGGATTTTTGGTGAAGTATACGGCTATTCACTCAAAGAATACATCCGACATGGCTGGGTTTTGTCTTCTGAAACGAACACTATTTCCGTGCCTAATTTGGTGTGGCAGGAACCTTGAGGTTGACAGAATTTGATAAAGTTGGGTAAAATGCAAAATGCTACAAAGCTTTTGGATGCTGCTGGTGCTGTTCGCCTTCCGGGATATGGTTCACGTGAGCCCCCCCCCGTGCTTGACTGGAGACACTGGACGACATGTCACTGGCGTTCGAGCTGTTATTTCCTATCCCAGTTGACTGAGTGTTAAAGTTGTAGGCGCCTCAGGTGTTCGTTGTAGGCTACTTCTAGGTCCATCCCGGCTCCATTCCTTTATCCATTATAAGGCCTTATTCCGATAAATTGGCACAGCTGTGCGACGTTGAAGTACCAGTGTTCTTATCTAGTGTTGCTGTCCGTGATGATCATTCATTTACTCCTAATGGTGCGAGTGGAACTCATTTAGCTAGGTATGCTTCCCAATCATACTCTTAATCGTAAGATTTATTGCACCATTCTGTTTGCTGTTCCGATGCGTAATCCACCTTATATCTTCGCTCTACCCCATAAGTAATTCATCCTGTTGTCTGTGCTCCACAAGATTTGTTCCGGATTGTGGGGGAGTTTTATTTCAGCCATACGATATCGGTCACGATTTTAACCTCCGAGGATGCATATAGGATGTCCTGTTCTAGTTACGTTATTTGGAACGATTGTTTGTCTTTTATCCACTCCATTTACAGCCAGATGGAAAGCATGTCTAAAAAGAACTCCGAGATTTTCATTACCGTATCCTAGTCGATCACTGTTCAAGACGGATTGTTTTACGTAGACTCATCCATACTTTGTTTAACTGCATGACCTTTGGAATCAATGAATCTCTTGGAAGTCCCGGAAGTGACGGTAGGATGCTTCCTCCCGAATCATTCTTCCACAGCTGCGCTTGAGACATCTGGATGGTATCAAAGGACGGGGATTTGCTGTAAATAAGGAGCTAACAGACTTATCCGGAGTCATGTTCGCCATTAGTTTACTTGGACCCGAGAACTTTGGCTGTATGCTTCCATTGATTCCATTTGTTTTTATTTGAAAGCTGTTCAGATTTCTATCTGAGTCGCGTGTGCGAAAATGTGAATGTATGTGGCACTTTGATAAGCGATCTCTTGTAGTATCCAGAGTGGGATACGCTTGATCTTTCTGATTGTCAAAGATGGATTCTCGCCTCTAAAGGTATGTTACTTGGATATGTTGTTTTATCTCAACTTTCAGGTGCCATTTTTACCTTCTTCGCTGTACAAGGTCACACAAACACCATGCTTTTCGAAATGACTGTGCACTTTTCAGGTCTTGTTGGCATTGATGCAGAGGTGGGTTGGTAATCCGTTTTTCATTTAGACTCTATTTCTAGATACATGCTACACACTCAACTGTAACACCGGTCAATGAAGTTTACTTTCAGTTTAGTGGGGTTCTATACTCACCGCTAAATTACCTGCAACAAACCACATGCAGTATGCAGTGCGTCGTAAGTTAAACCAAAAAATAACATGACGGTTGAAAACTAGCGACCAAGACACATTTTTCGAGTGAGTCCGAAGCTATCGTACAACTTCGAGGAACTCCAGAGGTAAAATATCTATCATTTGGCGTGCTTACTCTCTTATTTTCAGATTTATAGTAAACACAGAAGTGATGCATCATCAGACATCTCGCATGAAAACAATGATGCAGTCCATGAACATGTTGCAGACTTCGTTGTCGGGTATTTTGGATTTGGTGAGCAGCACGTCATTTTCTCGTGACGATCCCAGGATCTCACAGGGCTTCTCTCCTACTAGACTACTTTTGGTTCATCTTTCCGGAGATGGATAAATGTAAAGTTTTATATTTCTGGGATTTAAGCTCAGTTTTTCTCGCTTAAGCGGAAGAACGGTATATTTCTTGATTTTTCGTACCACAACATTCACCAGCAGCTAATATATTCCATCAGTAAGTGCAAACCACGGGGGTAGGACTCTCCTCTACACTATCATGACCACTTATTGATCTCAGAAAATATATGGGTGAATCCCTCTTACACTTTGAATTTACAGGTACAATTTGAATTGTACAGCAACCGGTTACAGTGGTTAGGACACGAATTTACTGACAGGAAGGTCCGTGGTCCGAACCCGACCTCTGTATCTGAATTTCTTCTGTTTAGGATTGGGAAACCTGGTAGTATCCCAGTCCTCGTGCTTCCCTCGGGTGGCATGGCAGCTAAGCACCGAAGGGGCGTTACAGCTGAACGATGATTTTTTATTTAGACGTAATACATTACTTGTAAGGTTGCTGAAAATTCTCCGACAGCCCACGACTGGTTTCTCCCTTCTTGGGGCTCATCATGTAGACGCAATTCCGGAGTTTCCGCGCGCTATTCTGGGGAGTTGAGCCGTAACTGCTTTCTGACGTGCTTGTTTCTGCATGATGCGTGTCTACGGTTGGCGGTGTTCTGTCATTATATATGTCGTTGTAATGAAAGTGGAACGTGAAAACAATAGTGGGGAATCAAATGGCGTCCTTTAAAAAGCCACGAAACCTGAATTGACATGTTGTTCCTCAAGGTCGTTTTCATGTCACGATGTTGACGCATGATTGTGAAAGACAAAACAGGATGAAGATAGTAGGTGTGGAATTGATTAGAGGAGTAATTAATCGGAATGGTAACCATTACAGAAGTATCGTTGTCCAGATATTGGTGATGTGAATACAAATTGTGCAATTACCGTTGGTACTCACTCAGAGGTCAGCAGATGTTTGCTTGGTTGGCCCCCTTCCTTCCATGTTCTTTAGAATAAGATGACTAGAATGGACAGTAAATCAGCTTCGTTTTGCTTCGTCAGGTTACTCAAGCCTAGGTAGGGGAAGTTGAGATACAGAAGTCAGGTTCGAGCTTAATACTTAATATCCAGTGTTTTGACGTGGATAACGAAGGCGTATGGATCTCTGCTGACTTGACATCTCAGGTTGTCAACAAAACCATTTATAAAAATGTCAGAATGTCAGAAGTGTTTGTTGTTTTTGTTGTTGCAACCAACTGCTGTCCCCGCTCCAGTGCCTTAGTGTCGGAAAAAGATTCCACATAAGGAGCACACCAGCTTTATTGCAAACGAGCGAGTGCAAAAGTTACAAAGGGCCTCACATTATTTAAAGCGCACTTTTGATTTTGATCCTGGCTATCTGATCGGAGTTGAGTGAACACCCATCATCGTCGGCCTTGTCTCTGTGGTAGTTCTGAACACATCGTCGTCGGTCGTTGCTAAGTTGATCGACTACTTGAGTGTTCAATCGGAAGCTCACTTTGCTGGTGTCGGTGCTTGACGGCTTCTTTACTGCGATTTTGGTGGGGTTTGAGTGTCTCGGTATGTTTCCGGCATCCTGGGGTTGTTTTCAGGAATCTGAACTTCCTGACAGTTGTATGTCTGCCACATGTGATAAGGATCCCATTGCAGACGACTATCACAATGCCAAAAATGTTTATTATTATTATTATCAGTTGTGAAAACTGCCTACTTTTCGCACGGTGGTTATTGCTGCCACAGTTTCGTTCTCCGAAGATTTTGGGAGATGGGGTAGGTAGCTACGCATTGGATGCATGTAATTGCCAAGTGAATACGGGATTGTGATTGGACTTCTAATTTGGGAGTTTGGGAAAGGAGCTATGTATTAGAGGCAATAACTTGACTGCAAGAGCACCGTTGACGGCGTGACTTGTCCATGTCTGACAATGTCTCTAACCATTGCTGTGTTCTGTGTTGGGGTTTCCACCTAGGGATGGCTTTCGCTCTTCGCTGCCAATCCACCTTTCACGTGGTTTTGCGAAAAGCGCTATTCGAGGAAGTCAATCGTCTGGCATAGTGAGCAGGTGACCAGCGCAACTTATAGGGTGTGGTCAGCTCATCCATCGTGGGTGATCTATTTCTACCGAAAACCATTAGACGTACTTAAGCATTACTGATCCGGTGTTCCCAACATACTCGGGCGATGCTCCGAAGACATCAATGGTTAAACATTAAAAGTCTTTTGACATCTATGGCGCGCAGCGGATAGGTTTCTGACCTGTATGGTAATATGGAGCGCATCGCAGCATTGTAAACTTAACCCTTGACGGATAAGCTGATGTCACGCCTACGCCACAGGCGATGTAGGTTCCCGAAAGCCGCTCCGGTCTTCCTAATCCGGGTGGAAATATCATATTGGACCTGACCACCGAAACTGATGAAGCTGCCAAGGTAGACAACTTTGTCTACCATCTCAATCGACTCATCCGTAAGCATGAGGTTAGGTTCGAGCCAATCCAGCTTTTGGCATCGATTAGGACTAAGGATCTCGAAGTTATCCAGTGGTTATCTGATCGTATCGGAGAATTCAGATGAACAGCAGTGAAAGTCGATAGCATATCTTCATCCACGTTTTGCCATGCTTCATTAACGTGCTCGCTACCAGTGAAAGGAAGAAGGCCTTCGCTGCGGAGTTATTCGGAAATGCCAACTGACCGGTTACAGACCATTAAACAGGGAAGCAAAACTCTAATCCGCATCTTAGTTACAAAAACTGGACACCGGAGACAAGCGTGTTGCCGGCCACAGCCCAATTTCGTGATCAACCGGAAGGCGCGGATGTCGACCGTACATCAGTATAAATGGGGACTTGCCTGTGGTAGACTTCGTGGAAGCACGATGAGCTAACAACACCATTGGCAAGTTCATTTCCCAGTCACCTCGTTTGGCCGCAAGCCACTCCTTAATCTTTCGGTTATTACGTTCGGTCAGGCCATTTGTTTGCGGGTGGTATGCTACCGTCCTCAGCCGTCTGATACCCAACTTCTGCAAGCAATTCCTAAACTCTTCGCTCTCGAAGCAAGGCCCCTGATCGGTTAGGATCATTTTTGGCACCCCATGGTTGGCCACGATGTGATTCATTACCACTCAGCCTCATTCAGCCCCAGCCGATCAAAGTGACTCTGGAACGCTTCTAATTCCTTGTCTCCTTCTCCGTTCTCAATGTTCCTTCCATCCAACAAAGCGGCTGCAACCTTTTGTAACACCGGATCCTGCCGTTGGAGTTGCACCAACTTTCCGGGATCCAGTTCGACGACGAGGCCATTGGCTCCAACCATGATCTTGGGGACCTCATCTTCAGCCTCTGGCCTTGACAGCCAATCAGCCAAGTGGTTCTCCTTCCCGGGCACGTGCTGGATTGTAAAGTCGTACTCTTGCAACCGGAGTGCCCATCTTGCGAGCTTCCCGCGAGGATCTCTGGTGGTCCTGATCCACTCCAGGGGTTTGTGATCGGTTTCGACATGAAACCTTTGCCCAAGCAGATATGGTCTCCACTTATTAAGGGCCCAGACAACCGCTCGGAATAATCCTCAACCACGGCCCGTATTGACGATACATTACGAGACGGAAGTTTTTGGACACACAGCTCCCTCACGATAGTGCCTGGATAACCTTCAAGCTTGATTGCGCCATATTTTGTCACCAGCCTTCCCTGCTTTAGGTCAATCATGGCATCTGTGCCATTGAGAAAATCAGCTCCCAATATTGTCTGCTCTACGTCTGGGCTGATCAGGAACGCGTGCTGCACGGACTTGTCGCCTAGGTGTATCGAGTGCGTTGACAGTCCGTCAATCTTCAGTTGATATCCACCAACAGCTCTCACGGCTAGCGCGCACGGCCTGCGTTCAGCCTGGTTCCCTCTTTGCCTCAGCGATACGCCTGCTCCGGTATCAATCAAACATAACTCCTTTTTCCCGTCTACCTCGACAATGGCTTGTACGGTAGCTTGTGTCAGTGCGCTAATGGCGACGCGCCCATGAAAAGAGGAGTACCCTTAAGTTTAATTGTGTACAAGTGACCGGTTACGGGGATACTGATTCTTCCAGTGGCCATGCTTGCCACACAAGTAGCACCAGCTGGTTCGAGCGTGCCTCCGCGATTCCGTCTTCACGACTGCCAGCTGTTCGGTGAGTTGGTCCACCCTGGTCTGCAGTTCCTTCACTGATGCAGCATCCCTGTTCTCCTGCGACTGCAACATGGCCAGTGGTGCCTCGGGCAGCTCCCGGGCCAGACGGACCAGCTCCCCCACACGCAACTGGCTAGTTGCTCGTGCCAACCTCAGCTGGGCACCAGGCGCGGGATGCACACCTTCGACGAACTGATCCGACAGCAACTGGTGTTGCGACACTCCATCCAGCGTCGGCAAAGCGCGATCCAACAACTGCTGCAGGCCGGCGAAGAACATGGCGGGTCAGATCCGGGTGCCATCCTGGCCGTCTTGAACCGCCTCATAGCCTCCTGGCGGTCGGCCGGCGTGTCGAACTCCGCTGCAAGGACTTCCTTCGCGGTGACCCAGTCCAACTTCTGAGGGCATCTTCTGGCCGCATCCAGGGCCGCCCCTTGAGGAGGGTCTTCAGCGCTGCCAACTTACCCTGGTCGGTCTCCAACCCGACAGCCTCCGCAACCTCCTCAAAGTCCTCCAGGAAGGTCCGAACCTCCCCATCCTCAAAGGGTTGCGGCCGAGGGATCTTCATCCTTATCCTGGCGACGGCACCAAATGAAAGGAAGAAGGCCCTCGCCGCGGAGTTACTTATTCGGAAATGCCAACTGACCGGTTACAGACCATTGAACAGGGAAGCAAAACTCTAATCAGCATCTTAGTTACAAAAACTGGACACCGATCTTCTCCCGAACGAGTCCTCTTGAACTTTCCTGGAGATTCATTGATTCCACTCATTCGTCGGTCAAATCCAAGCAAAATTTACCAAGTGGCTCCACGAATTCCGCAACAGATCTCCCTTTTTCAATACACGCAAAGCGAAATTCTACGAACAACACATACTACTCGCGTGCCCTCCCGTCAGTAGTATCATCGTTTCACCAGTACAGAGAGTTGCTGAGCTATCTCTAATCGATACTGTTGAGCTATGGTAGTTCTTTGGAGGTGGTGGATTGGTATGCTTCTTGCTGATTTGCGAGAGCCCAAAGGGAAGTAAGCTGTCGGGGGTTCACGTACGATGTGTGTGTGCCCCAGAAGGAATGACAGTCTTCAATTGTTGCTCTGCGGCTGTGGCTGATGGTCACGAGTCCATAGTTGATTTGCAGTTGGTGACCGCCAGGTTACGCGATGCGGGCATTTATACTAGAAATTCGTACTGACCAGAAGCAGTCGAAGATAAGCACCCAACTGCAGGTGTCGCCCTCATTTATCTATGCGACGAGCGTCAATTCCGAATAGACCACTGAGGTATGATTTCAAAGAGCTCAGACGACCGACTTGTGAAGTCATATAGCCCGCAAGGATCACAATGTCAGCGCTTCTTCCTTGACGAATGAACCCGGATAACCTTCGATAGAAAGTATACTTTTCAGTATCAGGACTGCAGTCCGTTGGGGCACAAGCCGACACAACAAACAGGCACCTTTGTTATGTCGAGGGGTTGGGTTGGATAAGCAGACGGCGCAGAGACTGACTGTTCACTGGGATTTAGTCCAGCAAAGAGCGTTCATCTCTTGTGCTAGGTGCAACTCCCACGCCATATATTCCACGAGCTATTGCTCCTGGATCACCGAACACATGGAAGGAGAAATGCGAAAGAAGTGGGTTCATCCTTGGCGTTTTCAGATGCATAACTATGCTTGGGTCTTGTAGGCGTGTTTCGGAGGCACAGCATACGTCGATCGTAAGGTAGTGTAAAGTTTCTTCGAGCATTGCCAGTTCGACATAGAATAGGGACTTTAAAAGCTATGTAGAAAGGTTCTCGTAGGTTTGGAAGGGTGTCGTTCTGTTCATTACTGATCGGAAGCGGGGCGAATAAGCTCCATTGATCAGATAACTGACAGTCAAATGACTCAACAACGTCTGCTTTTGTGGTGGGAAGGATTTAGGAAGGGACATCGGTGGACATAGAACTGTGCAGGCAAATTATACTTCCCAGTTGCCCAGCTGAGGGATGATTTTTGAGGTACACCACCTTAGGCCTTTAACTCAAAAGTCAACCACAAGGCAGTGGGAGGATGTAGGATTTCTTTCGGGGAGCCTGTCCTTATCATCTGATTTAAAAGTGCTGGCCGCTATGCAGGAAGTAGTAGGGTTTTCTTTGGGGACAGCTCCCGGAGCCTTTAACTCAGTACTCTTACCTGCTCGGCTGCAAGGTGCCGGTCTAACCTGAGGGCGTTGGAAGTAAGATATTGCTCTCCGACTCCTGATGTGACTGCTCGTGGTCGGGATTCAAAAGTACACCAGTGTAAAATGCATATGCGCCATTCAACTTACTCCCATCCATATACTATAAACTTATCAAAGCAAATCAGTACAATCACTGTGAGTTGGTAATCGAGACCCTGATAACAGCTGATGGACATTAAAGGCTGCAATGTGGATAAGATCTTTTGAGGTTAGTAGGTATTACGTTGGTTTATTTTTCTGGGCGACGGTTTTGACACAACGGTGGTCGCATTATATCGTTCGACGGGCAGGGAGGGGGTGTCTGACCACAAGGTACTGGGAGGATTTCAGGTTTTGTTCGGGTACCCTTCTTCTAACATGTGACTCAGAAGTCTGAAACGCGGGAAGGCGGTTGTCAGGGTTTTCCTGATAGATTAGTGGTTCTGAACTGAGAAGACGTTCTAGTTCAATCAAGAGGAAGATTGGAGTCTTCAGGGGGGATAGAGCTCTTAAGACCTGAAGACACCGGTTACTTGAAAATTCATTGTTGGTCCACTTCCTTCGATAGCTGAGTCACTTGACGTTTTTACTCACAATTTTTTTCGTCCAGCAACTACTGGGTGGCTAATGCCTGGTGGTCAAGATAGGTTTGTTGGCACTGTAAGAGCCGATCAGCCGTGCTTGGGATTCTTTAGTAGAAAGTAGAATGGTCAGTGTTTCGCAGATATACCACGCCGAGTCCTTCAAACGTGTAGCGACGGTCTTAACTGTCTCCATTCAGTGTTACAAGTGCTACATGCACGCAATGCACTCTAATACTTCCATACGATATGCACCAGTCTAAAAGCTGAAAACTTTGAGATAGCTCCACCATTCCATCGTCCTGCACAGAACGGCCCACCGGTGACGTAGAGAACAGTAACTTGATGGGAGAGGTAGACATGACGCGTAAAAAAACCGGTTGGGTAGAATGCTCCCACATATTGTCACATTCCAGGTACCGGTCTGAATTGGCGTGTTTCGGTGTCCCGTAGGTTGCTTGTTAGCTTGCCATGCTGCTGAAGCTGGTCTCGTCGCGTTGTGACAGTTTGTCCACTCGATCAATTATTTCTACTTCAGGTGTTTTTCCCTTGCCATTCTGTTCGCTATGTAACCCGACAGGCTTAGTAAAGTTGGTATCGAGGCCGTTCTTGTCAAATTTACTGTAGTCAGACCATTCGAAGGTTGACTGTATCGCTTTTCACAGGATAGCTCTGGGGGGAGTTAGTTTAAATATCATCCTAGTCTTCAGACACAGTTATTTGCCAAACTGGTGGTAATACAGTATTCTTTCTTCTGTCTGTGATACAGTGTTACTTCTATGCTTGGCAATCGGCAACAACTTTTATACCCAAAATGAGCAGCCTTTTCAACCGTGAATAGCTTTGGGCATCATAATTACCGTCAGATGTAAACCATATGCAAGTGTTTTGGTGGTCCTAATTATGCGTGATCAGTTTCTTCTTGCGTTTACTGACTTCTTGCACAACGTGGGCTTTCTGTATCGTAATCGGGAATTTCAATCCTAGGACTGTGTTGCTGAAGTGGTAGTGCTGTTCACCCATTCATAGCGTTTGCAATTCAAGTTTATTCTAATACGCGACAAAGTTAACCGAAAAAATGAAGTGAATCAGAGGCTAATGTTTTATGTTGTATTATGCACTCCACGTTCCTTGGGAAAATATTCACGAATATCTCAATAACTAGCATCGCTTTCAAACTGGATGAAAGCACTGCGTTCCTATTAGGGTTCGTTATTCAGGTTGTGTTTGGAAAATACAGTAAGCAGTGTGCGTGCCATTCGGATTAGCGAAATTATCGCAATGTCCAGTCCGAGACAGGTTGCGACTACTGATGTCGACCCTGGAGAACTAACTCCAGCAGGGTTGTGACAATTCGCCACCAAATGAATGTTGTGCAAACGAAGGTGGACTGTCTCTCCGTGTTTGTGCGTTTCCAATGACTTCACCGCAATGACACCACGCCAGATAAACCTCGCTCCTAAATTACGGCTCTTGGGACTATCCTTCTGAACCAGGTCATCCTACACTTGCTCCTCAGTCCGCCGAACTGCATTTCTTCCTATAATCACATCTAGAAAGTGAACCGATGAGGTTCAAAGTGAAGTGCAACCGTTTAATGTGTGTCCGGGGTATTAGACACCGGGTTAACTGAGCCATCGAGCAAAACTGAGCTCCCGGATCTAGGCATCATGGCTGGCGGGTAGCAGAATCATGAAGAACACGTTTTGTGTGCTATTTTGTCATAAGCATCCTGATACCCCGGCGTGCTTTTTGTCAACTGGAACTTGATCTGAAATCCTCTCTGTGAATAGTTACCTCTCTTCTTTGAAGTGTCTTCGGAAGGGGGGGGGGCGTGGTTATCCTCTTTAGGAATGTTTGCGTAGTACCGATTTATAATTACCGCTTGTTCCCTTGACTAAGGGTACCTTGTTCATGCTTCGCTTTTGCTATTTTCATCACCCTAGAGTGCCAAACGTGAAGCTGGTTTAGTTGAACTGGATCTATTGAAGTGTCGGCTAAGGGCAGCCAAGGCTGATGTCGAAGAACTACGTGCAAGGCTCGAGCAACTTTCTGACCAACGTTCTCTGGTTGGTTAGTTCCGTCTTTTTTGTGATGTTATCGTATGATATTTACCACTGTTTTGGTGATTTGTTTCCAGATCATAAAGGTCCGATCACTCTTCCGAGCTTAAGCGTTTAGACTAGCCGTTTCAGTATGCGTTTTTTTAGTTACGCTACGGTAAGATCAGTAATGAACATTGTCTGTTGGAAAAATTGCACGTCGTCCCCTACGATTTCTCATCCTCAGGAGATTGAACTGAATCTTTGTCCGATTAGTTTTGCAGGTGGGCTGTCTGCCAAGTTAGGTTTACTTGGCTTTTAAGGTTGGATGCTCTCTGAATGCCAAATGTAGTTTCCCCCTCGTTTAATATGGTGATGTACATTCGCTACACCTTTCTGCCAGGTCTGGTCATTCCACCCTAGCATACTGTGACTAAGCTATCTGCGCTTTTTTGTGATATCGGATTTTCATTAAGAGACGAGCTATCATTGTCCAATATCTGTGCCAGACTTGTTCCCATGTCCGCAGCCGACCATAGCGTTCACCCTTCGCTCATACCCAAGGGCATAGTTGCCTGTTTCAGTGCACTCTGACCTTGTATTCTGACCTTTTCCGCCTCTCTTTTTCATTGTCCATGAAGTTGCTATCAACGGTTCAATGGTCGATCACTGGTTCCGGTTCTCCCTGCGGTTCCTCTTTCGCGCCATAGGTCTTGTGTGCAGTTTAGTCCCATTCCATTCTTAGCTCAGGACGACCGAGACGGCTCAGGTAGTTAGAGTGCGAATTTAATGACCGGAAGGTCCATGGTTCGAACTCGACCTCTGCATCTCGACTTCCCTGTCTAGGCTTGGGCAGCCTGGCAGTATCCCAGCCCTCGTGCTTCCTTCGGATAGCATGGCAGTTGGACATCGGAAGGGTGTTACAGCTGAGCGATAATTTTTTCAAGACAACCGAGCATTTTTCTGGAAGTGGGCTTTCATATGCACTGTAATCCATTTCACTTGGGAACAGATGGACTCTTTAGCTAAGGCCTTGCCTGTTGTTGGGTCCTGAGGCTGCGTTAGCTGAGGTTCGACAGAGATGCTGGGCCTGCTCTGCCGGTGTGATGCTCAAATGCGTTTATTTCAACATCTTTCGAAGATATTCCCGATCCTTTTTCCTAAGGACGTGAGGTTTTTCGCACCGAACTTTCCTTGTCCGCCTTTCTTCTCTTTTCGAGGGCATTCTTTCCTCATTGTTGCACAGCAGTCTAGCGTTAGTACTTACTGCCGACGTTTCGTAGTCGATGGTGGTTTCGTGTAGCAAGTAAGGGAATTGATAAAGGGATGTTTTGTATGGCAAAGGGTATGAAAAATAGGTTGCAGACCAATGGCTGCACAGGTTTGAATAAAAGCGCTGAGAAATTGGGGGCGTCCAGACACTCAGAGTATGTCGATTTCCAGTTCACTACATGCCGATGCCTAGTGGATCAGTTTACCGTGCATTCTAGAGAATTCTAGGTGGTATCTTCTGGAACTGCCAATGTCGGCTAATCCCACTGCAGTTACATCCATATACCTCTTGCTTCCTTTTTTGTTCAATGTTCATTTGAAACAATCATGAAATTCACCTTCCAAAACACATGAAATCTAGGAATCCAAACGGCACTCGAGGATTGTGTGGATGATAGGTTTCTTGTTGTTGTTCGACGGTCACTACCGTAATCTACTCTTATTAATGGTTGGAAATGATTCCTTGTTTCGGCAGGCAGTTTTCACCTTCGGTGTACAGCTTTGTCTCAGGGTTTTAAATCCCTTTCCTTGAAGAGATTGACATGAGCCACTATTGTGTATAACAGATGAACTCAATGTACACGCCAGCAAGGCTGGAGCAACATTTACCAACTTGGGTCATTTGTGGCGTCTAAAACGAATTTCGCAGGAGCTGAATTCCCTTGGATACAAGTTGATCGTGGAAACATGGCTGCGAACTTTACTCCGTCCTCCACACCGCTAATCACTGGTGCTTTCATAGCATAGGAGGAGTTGGCTGGCTGCGTCGTGAACGCGATGGAGTAGTGCGTAGACGAGTGCTTTCAAGTGAGCCAAACCACTAGGGGGACAAACAAAACTTATCAGGTTGACATGCTTGGGAAACGTACCACACTACCAAAACACTACCTATCAAAAATGCATTTTGAATTCTGACTTCGTGCTCGCGAGTATTCGAAATGTATCGGCCGTGTGTTCACCGTGATAAGTGCAGTGTTCTATTCTACTTGAGTGCTGTGACCTTTTTGAGTCTTTCTGGTTAGAGTTCACATGATTACCTCTGCGTGTGGTTAGGATCTCTACAGGACGAGCGTTCTGTCACGTCGTAGTCTGACTGCCAAGCTGAAGTTTATCTGCCGTTGTATATTGAGCTCATGTTGGATGAGTTTGGTAAAAGACCTTGGTTCATTCCCATTCCGATATAGCGCTCATGTTCGTTTATCTCATTGCTTTCTGATGATCTAGATACCTTGTTCTTTATAGCTAGTGACAGGGTTTTTTTTTGCTAAGTCCCCACCCTTACCTTTCAGCCCCCTATCAGAATATTCTGCTCTCATGGCTGTCTAGTAGTTAGGAAAAAATCGTTCAGCTGTGGCACCGACCCTCTTGGTGCTTAGCTGTCATGCCGCTGAAGGAGGCACGAGGGCTGGGATACTGCCAGGTTGCCCAAGCCTAGACAGGAGCAGTCGAGACGCTGAGATTGGGTTCGAACCGCATACTCTGCAGTTATTTACAGAGGTTGAGTTTTTCCCCATCGAGAGAGGCTCTCACATTTAGGCTAGGAGAAATTTGTATAAAATCAAATGGTTATTCAGTTGGTTAGAGTGACCTTTGTAAACTTCTGTCCGTCGGTTACTCGTTTGGTAAACGTTACAATGCGGATTTCCCAGTCATTTCAATCGAGTTTGGTTATGTGATATAGTCATCAATCAACACTTGCTTGAGGCTCTTTGATTTGCTTGCGTTAGCGCCATGCGGTTGTTGTAATCATCCTTAGCAGTCAGAAATTCCACTGTCCAGCTACACTTCATAATCCTTCCCCTTCTTCAATTCATTTATTTAAGAGCTAGGTTTAAATGATTGTGGAAGTTCTGTGTACCTCTCGACCTTTGCTTGCCCCCCCTGAAGAGCGTATAGCTCACGCAGGGCAGATTTTGCTTTAACGACTTTCTGTTCGTATTCGCATTGGGTACACACCCTGTTACATCACGCTTTATGATTCGCATATAATCACACTTCCGTAAATGTCTTACGATTAGTAATATCCTAGCGGACCATGAGTCTTTTCTAGATACAACGATCTCCATCCGTAGATAAATTCAGGTTGAAACGAAATTCGGATGGATGGTAAACAATAAATAGGCAGGAAAATTGGTGAAATTTTAGTCCATATGAAAGAAGCTGCCTATTGTCATGCGAGGCTCAGGTCCTACAAGAGCACACTTTACCTACCAAGACATCTTAGCTGGTCCCCGATTGAGCGAACCACCCTACCGGATGTCCTTTCGAAACAACTCATTCCGACTGACCGTGTTTCCATTCGAAACATACTGGTTGCCAGTGAATGGTCCTTATTCCGCTTGGGCCACTTTTCGGCTGAACTTTCAGACAAGAGTAATTAATTTGCGTCCGCGTTTTTTTCTGTTTCAGAAGATATGCTGGAACATGTTGCTTGTGGTCGGGCTGCCATCAGTGAACGAATTTCCACGGTGTCGCGCGCGACAAGTCGTATTGGGTGAGGTTTCTGTAAGCTTGTTTTGGCAAACTGTATTTTGCATCCTTATCACAATCGCTCGGCCCCAGGCACCTCGTTTGTTGTAAGTGTTTTTTTTGTGTGTTGGAATTTTTGTGATGCACTACTTTGTCACCCAATGGGCAGATTATACTGGCAAAGTTTGAAGGAAGTCTAGGGTATTCTGTCTTCACCATGTGGTTTTCCATTTCCTCTCAGTAAAGGCCGTCTGGAATATGCAAACTGATCTTTATTGGCGTAGCAACTAATAGTTTGCTTACTGGTACGATATTTCTCGTTCCAGAGGTCTTGCAACGTGTACTTCGTGTTCAGTTTAGTGACACATGTGGCTAGTTTCATACTGTACTGTCACCATCCATTCATGATTTGGGGACTTCTGCGCAAGAGTCAAGATGCCGGAACAGTTGCTCTGATATAATCACGTTTCCGGTTTCTTCCACTTGCCCTTACTCGAGTTCCTGCTTTCTCTTGCTTCCCCTAACTCTATTTACACGTTGTCTTTTATTTCCATATGCATGTGATGGTTTTTGCGGGAGGTGTATTGTTCAGTCTCACATCACTCTCGTTTTGAACAGTCGTCCTCCTGTCCTGGCGCATATGCTTGTCTTTCCTTCCCACGACAGGTCGTACATGATGAAGCTTGACAGGGCTATATCATTTCGTATCTCTCAGCTGATCCACCAATTGGTTGAGATCTTTGGCACTGAGCTGGGAGCACGTGATCCAAAAAACACAGTCCCACCGGACACTATGGTGAGCCAAACGTTTTCTCGTTTGATAATTATTGGTCGAATTTTGCTCAATATATTTTTCTTCGCTTCAGACAGAAGATGTGGCCCGCCCAATTACATTTGTCCCGCTCAGCCCGTCTCACCTCAATCTGGACTACCCTAACTCAGCTACCGTCAGGCAACACACAACAGAGCCCATCACTACCGATCATTCATTGTCAACGAACCAGACAGTTAACGTTATCGCTAATGGTTCGGGCACCAAGTCTGTTAACCCCGTTGAATCAGATTTCGTCCTGGCAGCTTCCAAACTGGGCGTGATAGCGCAGTTGTTACGTTTTGTCGCCGCGGTTTTTAGTCATCCATTGCGCCATCCCCTTGATCTTACGGAAGGCACTTCGCGCGCCAAAGTGACTGATTACTTAGCTCAGGAGCTGGTTGAAGGAGAGCCAAAGTTAGTAATCCAACCTGTTTTGGGGTCCTGTGGTAACCCACTTTTCACGTATATCGGCTGCATTTAGAGTGATTCCATTTAGCATTGGATTTCTCCCTCTACTTAAGACTCTCTAGGACATCACGGGTCTTTTGTTATTTTATCCCACAAGTTGCATGAGCCTTTCGTCTGAGAAGTTGTCACCTGAGGGGTCAGGTACCACGTGACCAAGTGATATGAATTCCATGGTCAAACGATGAATTGCGTGATATGTTGACTAAGTGAGAATTACTCACACTGCTCATCAGCCGCTTGTGGGCAAACGGTTTACTCTTCACCTACTAGCTGAGAGGTCATGGGTTCGAATCTCCGTAGGACTTCATGAGGTACGTACTATTCTTGTATCCCAACAAGGACATAGCAATTGTCCGGTGCTTCTCGGTCTTTCACCCAGGTGACGAAGTCTCCATTTAAAAATATCCCCATACTAAAATCAAAAAGCTTTTTGTTTGCTCGGACAAGTTTTCTGGCTGAAATACCGGTATCCAGCACAGTTACTCAAACTTACTATGCTTATGTTACATGTGAGAGTCTGATTCTGGAGACGGATTCGCTGAAATACACCGGTCAAAAATCCGGATACTTGTGCATAAAGCTGGAAGTTTCTTCTTACATCTTTGTACCTGTGATGTCTGTAAAGCTCGTCAAGATGGAGACCGGCAACCAATTTGCAGGTGTTCATGTTGTCAAAGTTGGAACTATTCATTTATGGACTCGGGTGTCCGATTTACGTCTAGCTGTGTGCGGCTTATTTGAAAACCGCTGACGTTACTGTAGACCTGTGAGGTAAACTGAACATGAGCGCCAGCTGTCCAATGCCATCTCATGGCGAGCTCCTTCCAGCAAGCGTCAGAACGCTTGAACTTCGGTTGCACTTCTTGTGAGAAGTGCAACTGAATTTGGAACAAAGCTGATTGAGAGGACGAACGCTGTGACCCCTGAGTTCCATTTCGTAAACACGACATAAATAGGTCGCTCTGTAAATTTTCAAACGAACCCAGATAACGAACTCGAATCCCTTGTGGTATTATAGTATATAGTAGTATAGCATAGTATCATAGTGTTGTATTGTGTCATTGCGTTGGCCAGTCAAATCAGGCTAGAAATATTCGTGTGAAAGACAAATAACGTGCTCAAACGCATATTGGTTACCTGATCAAAACCATCGCGACTTTTGAATCCACTGAAGACTACATTCGATGCATCTCTCTGATATAAATGCTTTTGGGCTTCATTGTTTTTACTGATCGGTAATCATGTTGGTCAGCTTTGGTTTTGACGTATGCAATCGACAGGTATGCTAAGCTACATAGAACAGTCGGACGTCGGTTGCGTTTGTCGATCATTGAACTTACCTTATCTTCATTAGCATGAGCTTTCCGGTAATATCAGGCTTGTTGCCCCGTCATCTTTATCGGTAACGTGTCATCAGTCCTGTCATCAGTCCTGACGTCTTCCAACAGGTATGGACAATATAATGACGGTGGATCGGCCTAAGTGGCACCCGAAGATTTTGGCGTGTTGCTATTCGGAGCATTTGAATTCAGCTCTTGCCGAACGTGAACCATCCACAAACCCTGTCACCAACAGGATTACTCGGTGCAGGTACACTAGACACAAATCCTGTCTCATCACGCTTCGACAAACGTTAGCTTGATGAAATCTCTTCACCCGGGGGGGGGGGGGGTGCGAGCTGATCAGCTTTGAATGGGCAGCTTTGAATGACCTTACTGAGTGCCGAGACAAGTCCAGCACATACTTCAGTTGATCATTAAGTCCAGATTGTTCTACGCTTCCTCTATCACCATTTTTCATGCAACTCATATCATTGTCTGGCGTCAAATCAACATGAGGAGGAATGAATTTGATCATCGTATTCCCTGATATATATATATATATATATATTCCAGATAAGGATATGTGGAAAACTCAGCGCCTATTAACCCAGCCCAAGAACAGTCAATCTGGGATTCTATAGATCTGAGCTCCGTTTTCACTGTTTCTTGGGGGACCGCATAGTATGTGTTTCATAGTCGACAATTATCTGAACTAGGATTTGATTTGTATTGTATCGGTTTGGTTCCTTACGAAGAGTAGTTAAGTGGTACAACGACAAATCTCCATGTAACTTGCGTCGGATCGATCTGTTAGAGCGTATGCTCGGTACAACTTGTTATGAACTAGAGACGGCTTCACAGCGTCGTAGCAGTCACTCATTGAAGTGGCATTTCAAGTATATATCGTCATCATCATAACCAGCACCAGAGGGTCATGGGGCTTCATCCTTGGAATAAGACAGCACAGAATGCCCGGGACCCTGTTCTTTCGTTCCCTTCTAACAATCCTTACTGTGTATCTCTGGTTCTGAATTTAGTTCGGTATGCAGTCATATATTGGCTCAGATCTGTACATGAACGTGGAATTAAAGCGTTTCACTGGCTGGCAGCCTATGCGTTTTTTGTGAAAACTGTAGTTCTGGTACGGTAGTACTATTTAGGCCCACTGTTGTATCTTTTCACCTGCCCTGACGCTACTGGGTTATAGTCAGAAGACAAGAAGACGACCTGAAGGAACTGTGTATCAACGCAATTACAAACTTCTATATATATGATTCACTTGTCACCGTATTTGACGGTCGATCCGCTGTCAACCAACCAGTGTGTCTCCCACACATCCACACTGGTCCTCGGGCGGTTGTTCCTTTGTCTCGATCGATCGTAGATGGCCGTCTGTGCGCTTGTGTACGGGATGCCTTGGCCATGGAGTGGGTGTGAACATTCTGTGTCCTTATTTGACCTTTCTCCGGCACATGACGAAATCGGACGTCATTCCGACGTGGGGGCATAGTCGCACGGCTCTGTTCCACATGATTGTTCCGCTGCGCAGTAGGCTGATGCGTAGCCGTATTACCTCCCCTTTCAATTCGAAACTGTTTTCGGACTGCTTGAACCAGATCGTATTTTCTCTTCTTCTTCTTCGGGCTAACTTGGAGCCAGTTTGGTCGTTTCCGTTTTCGATTGTGTCTTAGCTGTAAACCATGCGGTGCTGCATTTCTGACGTCCTTCCTCTTAGGTCTAAGATTATCGTAAGTAGTCCTAATTTTCCTTCCAAACATGCATTCTGCGGGCGATTTTCCACCGGGAATGTTTGGGTTTGGGGAATTTCGGTACATCTTCAAAGATGGTTGGATCGTTTTGCCCGACGTCTTCCTTCCTCCCACTTGAAGTAGAGCCCGTTTAACAGTATCCACGAATCGTTCAACCTGTCTGTTGGATTGAGTATGATTAGGCGAAAACTTTTGCGCGATACCTTTTTCTTTCCAAAACTGTCTGAATTCTGTTGAGGTGAATTGTGTTCCATTGTCAGCCACAATCAGCTCCTGATTACTGAAATATTGCAACACTCTAACCAGTTCATCGATAGTAGACTGTGGCGTAGTATTTCGCAAAAAGAACACATCTGGCCATTTGTTGAATGAATCCACCAGAGTGAGATATGACTGACCATTGGTTGGACCTGCATAATCCAAGTGAATTCTTTCCCATGGTTTCTTGCTTTTCGGCCATGGTTGTTCTAGACATTTTGGAAGTGACTCTGCCGTCATTTGACAAGGTTCATCCACATTCTGCGGGTTGATTGGCCCTTCAACGGAAATCCTGTCACTGTCTTGTGTTTCTGCTGGCGAAGGCAAATCTTTGGCGTCAACATCCAGCTTGTCTAGCTTGCCTGAAGTCTCCTGGTGGGCTCCAACGTGGCCTTCTTCGTACGAGTAGTATTCCTCGTATTCATCTGCATCATTGTCAGCCAGCACGGCTTCCACAGTCTTGCTTGGTCTGTCTTGACTGCCGTTTGAATCATTTTGACCATCGTTTTGATTCACGTTGCGTTGATTGCCTGGGTCTTGATTGATCTGCTGCGTCAGGGTCTCAGGTGAAAGGACATTGTCTGGTGCTGCTGATATTGCGATTGCCTGCTTTGAAAAAATTTGCGACAATGTCTCGATGAACTTTGCTTGATACTTTTCAAACTGTGCTTGCGATTTTTCAAACTGCGCCTGTTGCTGTTGCAGTAGAGCTTGCATTTGTTCGAAACTGACTGCCATGATTGAGTTTCGAAATGAAGATGACCCGTCGCCACTGTTGTATCTCTTCACCTGCCCTGACGCTACTGGGTTATAGTCAGAAGACAAGAAGACGACCTGAAGGAACTGTGTATCAACGCAATTACAAACTTCTATATATATGATTCACTTGTCACCGTATTTGACGGTCGATCCGCTGTCAACCAACCAGTGTGTCTCCCACACATCCACACTGGTCCTCGGGCGGTTGTTCCTTTGTCTCGATCGATCGTAGATGGCCGTCTGTGCGCTTGTGTACGGGATGCCTTGGCCATGGAGTGGGTGTGAACATTCTGTGTCCTTATTTGACCTTTCTCCGGCACATGACGAAATCGGACGTCATTCCGACGTGGGGGCATAATCGCACGGCTCTGTTCCACATGATTGTTCCACTGCGCAGTAGGCTGATGCGCAGCCGTATTACCCACGCTGTCCCATCATCCACCACAATATATTTGAATGTTGAACGACCTACTTTTTCAGAGTTTCAGTAACCTGACGTTTCGTAGTTCAGATCCAAGTTTACGCACTTGAAAGCGGAACACAGCGCAGTTGTACACCATATTCCGGATTTAGTTCGCCGTGTCTCTTAAGCTGGGTACTGGGCGTTTCAGTAATATACGAACAAACAGCAAGAGGGGAATTCTGCGTGGAAAACTTAGTATTTCCTCCTTTTGTTTATATAATATTGAAACTTCTATTACGCCGCACATGAGGAAACACGAAATGCATCCGGAGTATCGTACCCAACTGAATAGTTGTCTTCTATTCCCATGTTCTCTACGGCAGTCTTTTTATGTTTCCATCACTTTCGTTCCCAGCTTCCCACTGTACCTGTCACGTAGCTCTCTCCTTCCGGCATACAAACATGCTGTGTCTCTTCTGAATCGCGATCTGGCCGATTTAAGAGCGTCTGCTGGACTGTCAACTTCAGTTGAAGAGACAACGACTTGGAATCTGTGTACCTTTCTACAACATTGTCTCTCAGAGAAGTGAGTAAGCACGTACTCAGTCTTTTATTATTTACCTCCATCTACTCGAGGGCTTATCTAGGCGAAGCATGTTTAAGATGAGTGCCCGGTAGTATTTACCTGGAGATCAGGCAAGACGGAAGGGGACTATTGCTCAAATGAGCACTTTCATGGTTGGTTCTGGGCAAGGCTCTTTATAGTAAACCGTGAAATACCGTATTAGTGTTTTTTTTAATTTCTCGTCGTCCCTCAAGGTAAATATTTTAACCCTATATTGAAGCCCAAAACAACTCTGAAGTTCACGGAGGTCTACTTGTTATTGGAATAGGATGCAAGCAACTCAGTGTATAGTACCCAGTATGTCTATGGATTACGAAATAGCCGTAAAACCATACCACTTAGGCGTCGCGAACAAGTTTTCGTGGAATTTGCCGACTTTTGTTCATTACCAATTGCTTCTGCGTAACATGAGACAATTTGGAGAATCCCACAGATCCTATTTACGTTCTTATTTCACCTTACTCGTGGTCAGGAAGCTTATGAAGGGGGGCTATGTCTTTTGGGACATCATTGTTATCGCAGATAATAAGGTCGTCAAGACCATGTTGATTGGCGCGAACCAGTCCAACCTCAAAGTTCAATGGGACGAACCACGCGCCAGCCTACAAGTTTGGGTCTAAAACAAGTCTGCCAAATTATACCGCTAATCGCTCAGCTGTAACACCCTTCCGGCGCTTAACTGCCATGCCACCCGGGGGAAGCACGAGGGCTGAGATACTGCCAGGTCGCCCAGGCCTAGACAGGGGAAGTCGAGTGCCAGAGGTCGGGTTCGAACCACGGACCTTCCGGTCAGTAAATTCGCGCTCTAACCACTTGGACCGCTACAAAAGTATACAATCAGTAGTCCGGAGGACTGTAGAAGACATTTATGAACACTCAACGTAGCAGTCACTTTGCGGAACAAGGCGCATTCGACCAACTTCGCGATGCAACCAAAATGGTACACACGGGAAACAAAAGAAAGGAAAAGTTTGTGAGGAACAACACGGAAGCTAATAGAGTGAAAGGCCGTCCTATCAACAGCCAGCGGATTCACTGGTGGTTGACAGTCGTCAAAAAGTATAAATTCTGACTACTCATGAGTAGCCTGATTTAATCGAGTATTTGAACACCGGTTTCTGCAGAACAACAGTCCTACGATTGGGTTGATTTTTCAAGAAATACACTCATTTGCATATCAGTTCGGTTCTCACAGAAACCCAGCTAAATCTCTCGTTTATGATGCTGATTTTTTAAGGCTAACCATACATGAATCTGAATGTTCTATCATTATCACATCACAATAATAGTGATCTCCTCAGAGGTATAAACACGGCGAACGGCAAAAACCTGTTGTAATCATGATGCTTGTGATATTTTCAGTGCGACTGAGACTCTGGCTGTTAGCTGATTACCTCACTACCCGAACACTTTGCAGTAATGCATTCGTTAGATAGACTGAGTGTGTGCTTTGTGTTGGAATATGTCGTCAACTCGGCTTTGTGTTTGAATAGCCGAATAAGACTTAGTGGTACCTATTTTCCAGAACTTTGTTTCTCATCTAATTACCAGCTTATTTTTAGGGTAATACAGTGTTTTATTTGGTGATATCACTGGTTTTGTCCATCCAAAATGAACTTTTCATCGTATTCCTTGTCCTTGATCTACTGCATACTCAGTGGATCACACCTCGCTCGTTTCATCTCGAAAATATAGCTAGTTGTGTATCGGATTACTTCTCTCTTCTGCTTTTTTTACAATCTTTGAGAAGAATGCATTTGCATAACGTGGACATTCTAATAGAAAACCCTGAATTTCTGTGCCTCGCACCACTCAGTTATTCGGGTCATCTTAGATGTCTTCGTGATGATACTACCGGTCCTGTTTGAATGACATCCTCGGAAGTAGGTCAGGAAACTATTTGCAGCCGTTCTCGATTGGTTTGCTTCTTATCGATATTCCGTTCGCTGGGTCTATTGTATTGGTTGGGCCATACTTTTCATAGGTTGAGGATATTGAAGCGCACAACATCAGGCCACATACCTGTGTTATGTTCATTTTCCCTTACATTCAGTAAGCGACGTGCGAACCACTGGTCGTCCACCTGACAAACGTTGCTGATGCTGTCGTGTCCTTGGATATACATGTAGGAACCCCGTGAACGTGGCCTTTCCCTTGGCTTTTCTATTCTAAGAGACTCATACCGTCGTGTCTGACGCTATGACGATTTCTCGCGAATCTATTATCTGGGGAAGTTAATCACCAATCACCACTTCGGCTTCATCATTCTCATTTCAGGTACCTAACTTGAGAGGTAGTTTGAACGGAGGTTCCGTACATTTCGCCTAGCTGTTGTGGAACTCAAGGTTGATGTCGAGGCTTTAATTTCCGTTTAGTAACTGTTCATTGAGTTGTGTGGTGCTCTGCATGTAATCATACAATGGTGGAAGTTGTAAGTATGACGTAGCTCATATTATTAATACAAACTCAAAACGAACACATATTGGTATCGCCGTTAAGGGTCATCAAGTGGTCCTGGTCTCGAATGCCTATCACTAGTATTACACACTCTTACTTATGTGACAATGAAAGCTCATTGGGAAATGGAAGCTAGGATACTCAATTGAATGTCAGTCGATTCATTATTATACTGTTCAATCGAATGTGCCTCCTGTATCAATTGGAACAGTAGTCAAGATTTTGTAGTATTTTACTTCAAATGAAATGGCTCACAAAGGCTGATGTGCTGCTAGCTAAAAGAGTGATAGTGACTTTTTGGTGACTACTATCTCTCTAGTACAACTTTTAGCAACTTTTGAACTATCCCGTACTGCTCATCTAAGTAATTAGAAATTATTGTTTTTCATTTCTGATGTGAGACTACAAAGGCTACTGTTCTTAATGGTTAATCCAATTTCTCCCTTCACAGCGTTTGTTTGAAGCCTTGACTATTGCGACGCGTGGTTTCTACCAATACTTGATCAATATCTGACCCTTCCTTACATCCCTCGGTGATTTCATTCCGAATCGATGACTCTGCAGCTATTTTCATTGTTTCTGTATGTTCCCTACTTGAAATTTCCACGTTTTTGTCGGAAGCTTTTGTTTCGCAATTTCATCTGAGTGGATGGATGTGTTATTCTCAGGCGAAGCTGTTTCGTGCTTTCTCTGTGATCTAAATATTAGATGTTGCGAGTGGCAACCCGTTATTGTCGTCCATTGCTTTGGATTGGGTAGGGCGCAGACGCTTTCCCGTTCTTTAGCTTACCTATATACATCTGAGCTGTGGGACTCTGGAATTTAAGGTACTGTACTGGTGCAACGCTCCCCATGTCAATATTATAATCATTTGTAGGTAGAGCGACCCTGAATATTGGGAGTGAGAGTTTGGTTGGAAAGTCTATGATACTGCTGACAAACATGCGTGCACACTAAATGACGGACCTCACTTTTCGGCGTGTAAACTACCGTTAATCAATAGACATGTGTAGTGAGACAAGTGACAGCACCTTATCAAAGTCCGTGCAGCAGATAAAGGTTCTGTGGGTTGTTGGTCTTCGTATTCGAAATCAATCTCATGATTCTGATTAGTGGTACGACTACCGGAGCGTCTTTGTGTGACGAGAAGTAAGCAAGAACGAGTTCACTAACGTATACGCGTGCCATTGTCATGTGGATCGGTCAGTGTGGCAAGGCCAATGGCTTTAACAGGTTAGAGATAAAGCTAATAAAGATCCAGACAAGGTAAGCAAACGAATTTTCAAGTTCACAGATAAGATTCGGCGCCATTTTTGCGTTGGAATGATCACACCTAGAAAATACCGATTCATTTGTTCCAACTAGGGGCCAACAATCCAACCCATACCTCAACTGGTTTTCCATATTTCCGGCGTGACAAACTGCCGTCTATCTTTTCGTCGACCAACGAATTCCCCACCTCGTCTCAACAGTCTCGTTTTTCCTGTCCAATCCTGTGGTCAAGTCGTTCCTCAGTATCACCTTTGACAGCAGCAGACCAGTAATGCAACTATGAGGGAAGAATGTCTCAATGAAAAGTAGGAACAAATGGAAAGGGTAGTGTGAAGCCCCATTTTCTTGGGAAAAACAACGAAGAATAGGATATCTACATAGTAATAAAGCACACTGTCATTTCCATCATACAATCAGGGGGATTGATTCAGCCTCCTTTGCGTCCCTCAACTGACGCATAGCAGGCGAGCTTTAGCTAAACAGTTCGGCCGCTAAATGAGGGCATGCGCGACATAGCCTGTGGAGTTCCCAGCCATGAAGGCGTGGGTTGTCCGGTGCAGGCGTTTCACCAACGGCTTGGAATAGATGAAACGCCACCCAACTGCTGGTATTCTGTGGAGTGGATATTTCAAGATACCTCAGATAGGAGCATCCAATCCTCAACCATGAATTGAAACTGCCCTTGCAGTTGCCTCGTATACATGGCCGTTAATGTTCGGCGGAAGTTGTTTCATGTATTATTAATGACAATTTTTGGAACTGTTCACGTTCTGATTAATTGCGCGTATGCTTTATCTCTCATAGTCCAATCACGGCTTAAGCCGATGCCAATATACTTGAGCCAAACGTTAAGCACGTGACGATGAGAAATCTTTTAAGTAGGATTTTACACTCCGAAGGTTCCAAAACATGGGATGGTCGTCGACGCATTCCTTCAACAGTGATAGTGACTGCTCCGAAATCAAGCGATTTCCATGTGTGCCCCCGGGAACACCGCAGAGATTTTCTGGCATCACGTATATCTGTGCTTACATAATCTCATTTACGGTCAATGTCTTTCGACGAGGCTGCTTGTAATGTATTTCCTAGTAAGCTCTGGCTTGCTTCCCTAACTAGTGACTCGTAGGTTTTTTTTTACTGCTAATTGAGGACCTCGTTTGTTGATTTTTCTGGAAGACTAATGAAAGTCTACACCAAACGAGGCCATTGTCTGGACCATTGTCTCTGCAGCAGGGGGACCGGTTAGCACAATGGTGCCCAGTGCTGCTGATGGATCGGTGGTCAGCACAGTGTTTGAAAATACATCATCATGGCTGAGTTTCCTGTGGTGACTAAGCTTACAACCAAAGCGTACATGTGGTAATTTGACGCACCCTGACTGCAACTGAATTATGTTTTTTATGCACCTGAACTGTTCGTGGTGGACAAATGGATGGTAAGTTCGTGATATAAGGTGACTGGATTAAAGAGAGCTATTGTTGGTTGGTGCATGAACAAAGGGTGTTCGGTAACGCGGATTTTGAGGCTGTTTTCAGGTATCTAGTTGCTCAACGAAGTCTCAGCTCGCGAACTAGGGACTATACCATCATCGGCTTAACCCATTGCCGATCACTGGAAATTCTAATTTTAATCTATTATGAAAAGCGCTGTAACCCATTCGATACCTCCAAATGATCTGTTTTAGATAAAAATTCGCGAATTACCAGGAACGCCACACGTAAACCGTAAGGTAGCGCGACAGAAGTGTATTTGGCACGGGGCCTCAGACTCAACACTGCTTACCTTGGGTGGAGATTGACATCACCTGTGCTCAACAAGGGAGTTACTTCAGATTTAGCGGTGAACCAGTTCGTTTTACACAATTGATCATAACTCTTACTGATATGACGTTCGCACACACTGACTCTGTCGAATGAATAACCACTGACGCGCTGTGCTGGTTTGGAATGCCTTTTTATCCTGCCGAGTGAGTCAGTTGGCAACAGTGAACTGAATTCAACACTTCGATGCATATATGGCGACACTGGTTAGATTTTTAACGCCGCGAACAGATAACAAGGTAACATCGGCACACAGCTCTTACCTCACAAGCCATTGATCACCGTTTCATGGAGTCAAGTTATTGGGAAGGCTGATTTGCATTCCGGATCTCAGCACCACTGAGGACCTTGGAAGTTGCCACCACGCTGAGTTTACGAAGGTGTTAAATTGTATGGATTTGGAACCTAGTTAATGGATCTTCTCAAACGACCTTGGTGAAGATTTTATTCTGACGATTTCAACTCACAACAAGGCGTCGGAATTTCCTCGCTGGCCGAAAGTTCTGCCATCATCAAGTCACAGACTTGTACATCGCAAGTAAATGCTGGCCATTAGCGTTCAGTACTATGATTCCCAAGAGCCAAAGCACCATTTTTTGTCCGTTTTCCAAACTGATTCAGTGGTTTAACTCTGTCGCGGGGATGGAGCGACCATTTCTTCGTATTTGATGACTTAGGAGAATTTCCTACAGAATTATTGCTCAGCTTCTGAATGAGATGTCGTGGGGACATGTATACTGTCAAAAGTACTATTTTAGCCTTCTCGTAGTCCATTTGTTTCGTCGTCCATGTGTCCGGTCACTACAAATCGACTGTTGTGAAGTTCCGGAAGGTCGGACTGATCGACCAATCAATTGTCGCTGTGTGCACATTATCATGCGGTTTTCATTTTATGGCAACTAATGTCGTGTTTTCCGGATTTATTGTGTTCACATATCGGGATAGGTCTCAGGATTTCACTTTCCAAATTCGAGTTGGGGCCTCTCAACTTTTCTTTCTTTGTACCTCCCCAACCAGTCCTCGCCACTCTCAAACGTTCGTCTTTTGATTGCTCCTAATCCTTCATCTTAGTGACTAGAGCCATAATATGAAGTCTCTGTCTTTACTCGATGCTTCTTGGCTGAGGCGATCGATTCGACAATCCGACTTGTTTGAACGTTGTGGTATGTCCAAACCGATGACCCTATGTTGCTACACACTGAAGAGATGTACCGGACACTAGGTTCTTGCAAGTAGTTCTACCAAGTTGCATCCTGCATTGGCGGTTACGGCCAGCCAATGGGCAACCACACTACGGGGTCTTTTGTTGGCTGTAGTAGTAGTTCTTCGAGTGAAGGCGACGCCTTTGCTCTCATGAAAGCAACCAAGCTTTCGACAAGTTCATCGCAAGTGTTGAATCAAGAGATCGATCAATCAATTGTTCCGATAGGTTCAGAAGGAGCCTACCTCTACTGATCTAGATTGTTTCTCACCTTACTGTTATGGTTGTGAGATAGGGACAGTATATTCAGTCCAGGTGTATCATGTACTCACTGCACTTCTATGGGCTCGAATTAAAGAACCTGATCGAATTTGATCGGCATCGTATGTGTGAATAATTCGGGTAAAGTTCAAGGTTCACAATCGTTCCTCATCTGTCACGCATAAATAATCTTTATGGTTGGAACGGCTTCATGGTTCCTGTGGTGTTACGTAATTCTGCTTGCGTACCACAAGATTCAACTTTCACATTCCATCTATACTATAGCTGAGCATTCGCTTGTCAGAGTTGCATAATCACTGCACCACCGCATGATACAACTCACAACAAGTTTCGATCTTACCTTCCAAAACCTACCCATGTGCTATGTGAGGAACAATTGTACTACCTGCCTCCGGCTGAGTGGACACCACTCAGTAAAGATGCTTTGCATGTTCCAGTTTAAACACGCTATTCTGGATCTCAGTAAGAAAACTGACTTTCTGGTTGGTTCTTTCGCGGCCATGTATTGCTTTTGGGATTAGTTCTTCAGCTCCCTGTCTTCTGTTGGTTTTAGAGGTCACAAAGAACATGAGGAAAACCACTGAGTGACCAACTTTTTCCTTAGTGTTAGCCTTTCTTTTTCGTCAGGATGACTAACACCTATCCTCTCGCAATGAGTAGTTCTAATGCCTCATTTTTTCGTTTCCAAACGCTAATGGGATTGCGATTTCATCGGTGCGTTTTCAATGTCGACTACTCAAGCGCATCCGTACCTGCAATACTCAAGTGCTTTGCCCCTAAATAATAGGCTTTAAGATTTCACGCGCGGCCTTCATCCAGTAACAAGATATAGGAAAAGTCTAGAAGCATGGCCAAGCCATTTCATCCATGCCAGTAGCATTCACGTCCAACTCTTCTGTGGGAAGATATTAATTCGTAAGGATTTTTCGAGAACTTTCGTGCAGATGGAAAGCGAGCAGTGTGGTCTATTGTAATTAGATGCCGCTTAGAAGCTGAGGTTAAGAATGGTTGTTCTCAACATCTGTCACCTAAGGGTGTTTGCTTGCTTATTTTCACATCTGCTAGAACGTAACTAAAATGCATCCAAGCTGCACTACCTGTTTAAAATCAGGTGAGTGCTAGTAAACAGCCGTCGAGTGCGCACAGAA